ACACACACACACACACCCCGCGGGGGTACTTCAAAAAGTCCGTGGAAAAATGGAATTAAAAAAATAAGTGTATTTTGTGCAGGTGTCATGGCTCACTTGGTTAATCCTCCGCCTGCGCACCAGCATCCCTTATGCACCCCGGGTTCTAGTCCCAGTCCAGCTCTCTGTTGTGGCCGGGAAGGCAGTGGAGGATGGCCCAGGTGCTTGGGCCCTGCACCCACACGGGAGACCAGGAGGAAGCACCTGGCTCCTGGCTTCGGATGAGCGCAGCGCACTGGCCGTAGCGGCCACTTGAGGGGTGAACCAACGGAAGGAAGACCTTTCTGTGTCTCTCTCTCTCACTGTCTATAACTCTGTCAAATAAAAAAAAAAGTGTATTTTGAAACAAAACATTTTGAAATCTATATGTACAAGGAATCTTCAAAATAATTCATAGAAAATGCATAGAATGAAAAAAAAAAAGAAACCTCTAAGGAGTTTATATCATTTTTGCATCAAAAGGAACTTTTTTGATTCTGTTCTTCCACGAACGTTTTGAGGTTCGCACAGACCTTGGCGAACAGGCTAGAAGGAGTCCCAGGAGACAGTGTCGGGACAGCACTCTGAGCTCCTTGGAAGGAAAGTGCATAAAAAAAAAAGACGCTTTTTGCTAGGAGCTCCCTCCCAGGGGTGTCGGGGGAAGTCTGGCCTAGATGGTTCCGGATTCCCAGAATCCCTACCGATTTCTCAGCAACTGCCTCCTGCTGGGCTCCCTCCGCCAACTGCAAAAGGGAGCAGAAACAAAACGCGCCGCTTCTCCGCGGCTGTTTACTCCTCGGACACAAAGCCCTCGTTATGTGGGCAGATGGCGGCGCGCCTCGCTCCTCTTCGCGCTCCCTCCTTCCCTCCCGCCCTCCATTTGTTCCCCTCTGTTTCTTTGTCCCCCTCCGGGTTTCCTTGTCTCCCCTCCCTCTCCCCGCCTCACACGGCGGGTCTAGAACTGACTCAAGGGCCAGCGAGGAGGACGAAGGCAGACAGAAAGCCAGGGCGCAGACGACGCCGCAGCCCGCGCGCGCGCGCTCCCGGCGCTCCCGGCGCTCCCGGCACAGTCGCTCTGCCACTGGGCGCTCCAGATGGACTTTTGACAGAGCGACACGCCTTCAACTGTAGGGGGCCGGCAAACCTCAAAAGACCTTTAAATATTTACATGGCGGGTTTCCAAGGGTGCTTTTCCAAAATAAACATAGTCAATACGCGCACACACACACATTTGTACATGGACGCATGCGTAAGCACACACACACACACACACACACACACACACACCCCACACGTTCCTTCTGGCCTAGCCACTCCCAAAAAGCAAATGTGGACCCAACCACTGACTGAATATTGACCGCAGTAAGCATTGTTGATAAACCCCGTAGGCTGGGCGCGGACTAAGGACTGGCTATGCCAGACTTCTCTACCCAGTGACAAGGCTGCTCCCGCCCTTCTCAGACCCACACAAGTCACTTATTCTTTCCCAGCCGCGATTTCTTCTTCCGTAAACTGAAGCTGTTAGAATACATAGATATCTGATCCATTGAGGTGAACTATCTATGATTCTAGGAGCAAACCAGCGTTTTAGAAAATTCCCTCAGGCTGATCTTCCTGACACCCAGACGCCTGGCGAGAGCAGGGGAAGTTCTTTTAGAATCTGTGCATTGTGGCACAGTGGGTTAAGCCACTGCTCTTACCACCAGCATCCCATATTGGAGTGTGGTCTGAGTCACAGCTGCTCTGCGTCTTCTTTGTTTTGTTTTGTTTTGTTTTGTTTTTTTTCAGATGTTATTTATTTGAGAGAGAGAGAGTTACAGACTCCAAATGGCCGCAATGGCCAGCGGTGGGCCCTTTTGAAGCCAGGAGCCAGGAGCTTCTTTCGGGTCTTCCATGTGGGTGCAGAGGCCCAAGCACTTAAGCCATCTTCTACTGCTTTCCCAGGCCATAGCAGGGAGCTGGTTCAGAAAAGGAGCAGCCAGGACTCGAACCAGCGCTCATATGGGATGTGATGCCACAGGCTTAGCCCACTGTGCCATAGCACCAACCCCTGGCTGCTCCACTTCTGACTCGGTTTCCGCTACTGTGCCTGGGAAGGCAGTAGAATACGGCCTCAAGTGCTTGGGTCCCTATGGAGTTCCTGGCTCCCGGTTTCAACCTAGCCTAGACCTGGCTGTTGTGGCCATTTGGCGAGTGAATAAGCAGGTGAAAGATACCGCTCTTTCTGTCTCTCTCTCTCTCTCTCTCTCAGCTCTCACTCTTTCAAATGAATAAATACATTAAAAATAAATTTTAAAAATAAAAGAAGTCAAGCCTGTGGTCAAGCAATGGGCTGATTAGTGGGAGGGGAGAGAAGTTAGGGATCAGGGGAACAGAAAGAAAAGGAGTTCAGTTTGGTAGGGAAATGACTCTCCTATGAACAGGCTCAGCCAGGGATCAGAAAGGAGTAAGTGGCATGACTGGCACCTGCTTGGATGTTTAGGAGAAAGATCTCAAAAAAGTAAAACTGGGCAAAGGGGAGTGTGGCCTGATGGTCCTGCTTTGTCACCTGAAATTGATTCTCCAGTCCCCAACAGGCACTCTGTAAGAACCAGCACTCGGGCCCTTTTAGAGGAGGCCCTCATGCAGTGCCTTGTTCTACACGAGGATAATAACTCTACCCCCATGGCCACCCCCTGCCTCCAGACAAGAAAGATTAAAGACTTACGCTGGGAAAGATGAGGTCGCTATTGGAGCAGTAATGGCTACATCTGCAAGTGATTACCTCTAGGATTCATTACCAAGTAGGACTCTGCTTACTTTGGCCCCTGGGAAGTTGATTTCACTGGGGGTCTTCAAAGAGGGTAGGGAGAAAGCCATTTGAGTCAAGGGGTGGGAGTAGGGATGGGGGTGAGGGGGATCCAAGCTTAAACAGACACACTTCACATTCGAAAGGAAGCAAGGTCTCTCATGTACCACAGCAGCGGAGCAGGCTTGCCCTGCTGCTTTAAGCAAATGGCTCCACCAATGTCCCCAGGATCAGCAAATACAAGAGCTGGTGCCACTCAGAGGATGGAGGTGGGGGCCCGGAAGGAGGTCGCATAACCGAGTGGAGCCCCGTGGCCTGGCCATGGCCTGGCCTGAGTAAGCGGTAGAGTGGTGTATCAGACACAGTTCCTTATCTCAGGGTTTCTCAGCCTTGGCTAACCATTGCAATCATTTGTGAAGCTTTAGAAGCCTCTAGGCTTGAGTCCCACCACAGACTAATTAAATCAGAATCTCCAGGGGTGGAGCCTGGGTACAGAGTGGTCCAAAGACTCCCCATGTTGGGGTGGGTGTTCAGCCCAGTGGTGCATCCCACATCAGAGTATGTGAGTTCAATTCACAGCTTGTCTCCTCTTTCCAGTCTGTCTGGGAGGCAGTTCAAGCCCTTGGGTCCCTGCCACCCATGTGGGTCCCCCAGATTGAGTTCCCAGCTGCCAGCTGCCAGAGCTGCCAGCTGCCAGCTTCCAGCCCAGGCCATTGTGGATAGCTGGGGAGCAAACCAGCAGATGAACACTCTCTCATGTCAGGTGACTCCCAAGTGCAGCCAAGTTCAGAGCTGCCACCTATTTCCATCTTCAAGAAACCCCATGTGGCGGCATTGCTCTCACTCTCCTGGTTTTACGGCAGAGAAAACTGCGGTACGGGGAGACTAACAGGACGGGGGTTACACCTGCTGGTAATGGAGGCAGGATTTGGACCACAGCCCATACTCCTACTCATCATGCCCCCGGCCTTCAAGGCCACAGTCAGCTTTCCAGGTCCCGAACTTTTGTGGACTTTTCAAGGTAGAAAATTGGAGCTCTCAAACTATTTGCATGTATTACTCAAAATATCCCAAGGGGGCAGATGCTTGGCCTAGTGGCGAAGCCACCAACTGGGACACCCAGATTCTGTGGGCACCTGTTGTTTCTGGCTCGGCTCTCAGTTCTAGATTCCTACTGGTGTACCCCCTGGGAGGCAGCAGGTGACAGCTTGAACGGCTGAGTCTGTACCGCCCACGCTGGGGACCCGGATGGAGTCCTTGGCTCCATGCTTCAGTGCTTCAGCCCCTGCAGGCATTTTAAGAGAGAAGCCAATAGATGGTATCTCTCTCTCTCTCTCTCTCTCTCTCTCTCTCTCAATTTAGAAGACAAGTCATAGAAATGAAACACTAGCCCATATTAATGCTACATATTCCTGTTGATTGGGGAGGCAAATTTCTTTCCCTTGGTAAGAAGGACATCAACACAGAGATTGCAGTGTACTTTCCATGCTCATCAGGAGTTCTCATTCACTCATTCAACAAACATTCAGAGCCAGCTTTGTGCAGGCTCCGGCCACCCTGTGCAGATGCTCTAAGGGCCGCAGCAGCACCCACACTGGACACCCGTGCACTGAGAGCCACGGAAGACTACAGGCAGCTCCGAGTGGCAATCACATAGCATGCCTTTGGTGAGTGAAGAATGGCAGTGCAAATCATAGGGTAATATAACACCTGTTGCTACATGGTGAAACGAGATGGAGTCTCTCGTTGGAGGCAGGGGCAAATACAATGTTATGGGAAGTTGGGGAATATATTGTCACTGACCCGTATATATTTAACTCAGAGTGAGAAATGCACATTCCTGGCTGGCAGCCCTGCATGTAATGCACTGAGTGTCAGCAGGGGACATGGGCATAGAGGTGACCTACAGAGCCCGTGCTAAAGAGGCAGCTGGGTCTCACTTCCAGACAAACGTTGCCACGCACGGGCGTGCTGCAGTGCTGTCAGCTGTAAATACGGGTTACTTCAGGTAAGGTCTCCCAGCTTTTAAGTGGCGTCTTGTTATTGTCTTTTCCAAGAACAGCTCCTCTGGCTTCGGTTTCCCCAGGGAGGGTAATCTCCCCACTGGTCCCGTGGACCCCAAAGTGGCTGCTTATTCACCTGTGCCCTTCCTCCTCCTCCCTCCTCCACTCTCCCCTCCTCCACCCCGCCGCAGGTATGCTCATTTATTTCGGCTACGGCATTTGGAACAGCACCCTGGAAATCAGCGCCCGGGAAGAGGCCCTGCACCAAAGCACGTACCAGCGCTACGACGTGGATGACCCCTTCTCCGTGGAGGAGGGTTTCTCCTACGCCACGGAGGGCGAGAGCCAGGAGGACTGGGGCGGGCCGGCCGAGGACAAAGGCTTCTATTACCAACAGATGTCAGATGCAAAGGCCAACAGCCGGACGAGTAGCAAAGCGAAGAGCAAAAGCAAACACAAACAGAACTCAGAGGCCCTGATTGCAAATGATGAGTTAGATTACTCTCCAGAGTGAGTGTGAACCCGCAAGAGGGCAGAAACAGTGGAGGTTGGTTTGCAGTAACTTAACCTGTGGGCTCCAAGGTGAAAACATTTTTGGCTCTCATTTCACAAACCCAGCCTTCCCCAAAGTCAGTCCCCAGTCATAGCCTGTTGTTTGCTGCATTAGCTCTTCTGGATTGTTCTGTTGCAGAATTTCACCCGGGTCCCCTAGCTGGTCCCCTGGTTTAAAAAAAAAAAAAAAAACTAAACCAGAGGCAACATGAAAATCCCACTTTAGGTGCAACCATCAGAGCTGACACTGGCAAACGCTTTGCTGGTTGGATCTTTGTGGTTCTTGTTGAGACCCTAAGCAAGGAGTACACTTCTTGGGCCCCACTGAGGCAGCAGTGCCAAACAGGTGGGTGTGGCTCAGGTGGGAAGTCAGCCAGCCGAGACCACCGGCCAAGGCTCCCCTCTGCGCATGTCAGGCTGAGCGCTGCTCCCCCAGGTCAGGGTGGGCAGGTGGGCGTTGGCAATTCCTCAGTGTCCTGATAACTCAGCCCCGAAAATGTCGTGCAGAAGACACACGCTTCTTTTTATTCACCAGAGCTCTCACAGCTTCCAAACTATAATTTCAAACTCCAGCAGAGGGCTGGGACCTCTCAGGCCACTTGCCCATAAGGTCTCGCCTATCGCTCATGCTGGCCCAGTACCGCACGGTAAGGAGCGGCATCAAAGCTGACTGCAGTGCCCAGAAAACAGCTAACTAGCCCTCTCTGGCAGTGTAGCACAGAAGGGCATGGGCGAGAATGAACTCCCTACCACGCCTTCTCTTATGCCAGAGTCCACTGATTTGATGAAAGAGGTCAGCGGCGGGAGCATGATTTCACGGCGCTGATATGCCTGGAAGCAGTGGGCTGTTTTGTTCTCTATGCAGATAAAAATCTTTACCAGGAAGGGTGACCCAGCCACAGAGATCACATTGCAAATTCTAGTTCAAATTTCTAAAATTATAAAGGGGGTAGTTTTTGGAGATTTGCAACCACCTGATTGATGGGTGCTACTCTGAAAACAAAAACACGCTCAAGCGCAGCTGCTAGGTCATGGTATTCCGTGAGCTCCCATTTCACTTCGGCACCTTCCTCCTCTGGGGTCGCTCACTTCTAGAGGTTTTTTTTTTTTTTTTTTTTTTTTTTTTTCCCTGTGTTTTCCCAAAGCAGTTCCACTGAAGCTGGAAGAAATACCCGTCTAGCAAGGTCTAGATTTGGGCTATAAGTGGGATCTTAAAAGGATTTTCTTAGAAACAGCACGGATGCGAGAATTTGCGACAAAGAAAAGCACAGGGGTTACCTTCCCCAGGCAGGGAAGGGGTTCCCGTGGCTGCGCTGGAACATGGCTGCATGTATGTGAAGGTACAGCTGGGCTAAGCTGAACTCTCTGTGGGAATTTCCTGAAAGGGCAACAAAATAGCGCATTCCTTGCCCTCCCTCGTCTCTGTTTATTTCCATTTATGCCAGAAGTTTTCCAGAACACACCAACATTTACATCTATTCTTTCTTAAAGGTTAGGCTCACACCATCTTGGCAGGCTTTGGATTCTGCAGAGGAGGCAAGGTCCCATGTTCTTCCATTCAGCCAACACTGACTGCGAGAATACCAAGGGCTAGGTGTTGGGAAAGGAAGAGGTGTAGGCTCTGCTCTTGGGGCTCACGGTCCGGGGGTGCAGCACTGGAGACCAACAAATGCAGACAGAGCAACCAAAGCGGACACGTCCGCATGACCGATGCCCTGGGCTTCAGCACACATACAGAGATTCCCTACAGCTAGCCTTTTTCTTAATGTGCTTTTAAATAAATTGCATATCACATCCACAACCAGTGCATACCATTGAATTCACATAACTGCCCCTTTCCTACATCTTTTTTTAGTCCTCTATATTTCTTTAAAACTGTGGTTTTCTGAGGTCATTTTGTCATGTTAATGTAGTGGCTTGACAATGCTGCGTGTTATCTAAGCTAAAGATACAGTGCCTGGCCTGTGAAATACGTCTTTGGGTGTTCGCATAAGCTAATTGTCAGTCATCTTTTGAAAAGAAAAAGTATTGAACTGCTTTTAGGGTTCCACAAGTCTGCCTACTGTAAATACATTCTGAGCTGAGGAGATGGGGTGGAATTGCTTTTGTTAGATAAACTCAAGGGAAATACAAATGCAAAATCTGACCAGGAGTGAAAGCGCCCCTTTCACTCGTGAGTTTGGAGTTAAAGTAACAAGAGTCTTGGGACAGATGTGTGTGATTTTTGTCATCCGAGAGAGAGAACACGTGCTTTGGTCAACACCAGCGGTATTGACTTAGTGCACACCCAGCAAACCACTCTCATTTCTGGAGCCCTGTGTCCTAAGCAGTACCTTTGGGTCATTTGAAGTTCTATTCAATTTGTCTAAAGGTGATAGACCATCTCTCTAGTAACCCTGATTCAAAAAGCAATTAATATGAGAGGAAAAGTTTTTTTAGGGAACATAAACATGTTTTTCTCAGGTTTCCCAGCTTCCGTGAAATGGGCCCAAATTTTGCACTGCAGTTTTCATATATAAATCACTAGAATGACTATATTAGTGTTTTCCTGACCAGTTTCTTTTTTTAAAATATTTTTATTTTATTTATTTGAAAGAAAGAGATACGGAAAGAGGTAGACAGAGATACAGAAAGGGCCAGAGAGACAGAGAGGTCTTCCATCCGCTGGTCACTCCCCAGATGACCACAATGGCCAGAGCTAAGACGATCTGAAGCCAGGAGCCAGGAGCTTCTTCCGGGTCTCCACGTGGATGCAGAAGCCCAAGGACTTGGGCCACCTTTTACTGCTTTCCTAGGCCACAGCCGAGAGCTGGATCAGAAATGGATTAGCCGGGACTTAAACCAGCATCCGTATGGAATGCTGGCGCTGCAGGCCAGGGCTTTAACCCACTGTGCCACAGCACTAGCCCCCTGACCAGTTACTTAATACCATGTTTGTGGGGCTACTTTAAAAGGAAGATCACTTTATAGATTATTATCATGGTAACTCAGCCCCCCTGAATGGAGTCCAAGGAAGATCTACATTTTATAGAATTCTTCTCCAAAGCAAGAGCTCTTTGAGTGAGGTTTCCTTGTGTGGATTTGTGGTTTGGAGCCAGTTACTTGACTTTTTCCATTTTATCCTATTTACTTGGCGGATTCTGCTTTACTTCAAAAGAATTAGAGGTGGCTATTAAAATATAGATGATACAAAGCAAAAAGTAAGTGAAGACTCAAGGCAAGTGAAAATACAAAGAATAAGACAAAGCTAGAAATATGTTTAGTGCTCAAATGCAGAACTCTGATATACATTACTGAATTTACCAGTGAGGGGACACCTTGAAAAATAACAGAATTGGTGATAAAAACAGGAAGTGCTCTCGCCTGGGAAAAACAAGTCTTTCCCCATGAGAGCAGAGAACTGAAATACATAGGTCACTGAACTCCCCAGATGAGATTCAAGCCTAGATTTTACGAGTGACATGTGCATGACATATCGCTCTTGAGTGGTTATTCAATAAATATCTGATGATTGGATGGAGAATAAGTGGGAAGACAATGAAATATGTGTGGCTTCCATATTATGTGCAGTGGCCTATATTGATACAATAATAAGCAAGAGAGAAATCCAGCTGGTAAGAAATAGGGGGAACAGGATGTGTACATAAAGATCAACAGTAAGAGTGACAGGTGAGATGAGGGAGTCGCAGTGCGTTGTGGGAGTTCAGTTATGGACGAGACCTCCTTCCACTGGAGAGATCATGAAGAATGCAGCACTTGTGCTGTGGCTTGTGGAACGGGCTGGGGTTCTCTAGGGAGGAATGGGAGAAAGAGCGGCAAAGCAGAGGGTCAGCATGAGTAATGGGTACACTGGGGCTGACAGCCATCTCCTGACTGGTGATTTGCATCGTCCCTCCCTCAAGGGAACACAAGCAGCCAATCGGACCAGACCTTACGATTTAGGTGTGATTTGTACATGGAATGATGAGAAATACAGGAAAGGCAGCTTGGGGCTCACGCACAGTCTTAAATGTCAGACCGAGCTGGCTGGCCCTCCCTGGGTGGGGCATGGCTGGGAAGCGGTTGCAGTATGAATGAGGGCAAGTCGGACTTTAAGAAAGTGGAGGCAGTGGCTTTGTATGTGCATTCAAGAGCCTAGCAAATCGCACGCACTCCCAGCTGATTTAACAAACTAGAGGGGAAAAATCCACATTTTAAGCAACGTTGTCTTCTTTTGAATCCTGAATCTTAATTCCATAACCAACCTAGGAGAAATAGGTTCATCTACCGTGTGAACAGACATGTAGAGTTATTCACAGCCTCTTTAAAATTTCCAACAATAAATTTCAGCAAACAAACCTAACCACTTTTCTGTGTACCTAATTTAAACAGTAAAACCTCAGCTCCAGGTTTGACTCTGCTGGAAGGCAAGTCCACTTTGAACTAGCGGAGAGAGCTAATTGGTAGGATTCAGTGAATAATCCCTTTGAAATTCTTAGTAACAAACTAATTCTTGGTAACTATCTACACAGTGGTGATAATGAGCTATCTAAATAAACAGTGAGTGAGGAAGTGTTGGGCAAGTTTAACAACTCTCCTCCAGAATCTATGGGTCGATCAGGATATAAGCCCAGTAATTATCGGGAAACAAACACAAACTCCTTTAAAGAAATATCTTTATTCTGCTGAAAAGAGCTGATAAACTTGACAGCCTTTAAGTCCTGCGTGGAGGAAGTCCGCTGTACCAGGGACTACCTCGTCTCTGTCTTATAAACAGAAGCTGCACACGTCTGAGAATTCCCCGAGAAGATTAAGGAGATGGTTTTCCTCCTTCCCGCTAGATTTTAATCAGGGGCCGGGAAGTCAGTGGGAAAGCCACAGCGAGTCAGCCACAGGTGTGTCCACTTTTGAGCCTCAGATGAGAAAGTGTGAAGTCAGAAATCAGGAACCGTGTCCAAAGCCAGAGCCAGGCTCTAATCATGGAACCCCAGTGGCGATGAATGGTCCACTCTCGCTTGGATTTAAGCTTCAGGTTAGTCCAGAGGTGGCCTTCATTTCCTCCTGGGGGAGACGGAGAACAAAAGAAATGCACTCCAAATGTCACCACTCGTGACCTCACCCCTCTTTGCTGCTCTTTGGAACAAGACTTGTGAAGAAACGTGTTCATGCAAACTGACCATTTGTCTACAGAGGCCTTTTGGAGATCCTAGGATAGAGAGGCACCAGCAGGTGACCCGCCCGTGGCTGGCCCTGAAAGAGACAATACTTCAACGAAAGGAACAGCACCCCACGCCCCAGGCTCCCACCCGAGCGCGTCCCTGGGGCATTCTGTATTGTGTTTCGCAGTTGGAATGGTGTGAATAGCAAAAAGCCCTCTGATGCTTTCCTCTTTGCTCCACTTTAGTAACAATGCATCCTTCTGAACCCACTGGGCAGCTGCCTTTGGCCATAGCGATTTCCTCTCAGAAAACAGAACGTCCATCTTTTTAAGACTTACAACCCAAGATAGACTGGCGGGAGTTGTGAGCCCATCAGAAGTGAACGTGTATTCTGCAGCATCTGCTAACATAGTGTTAGACATCACGAAGCAGCACACCACATGCGTGGAATTACAAACCCCACACAGGACTTACACAAAGCCGGCCTTGGGCTTCAGGTCTTCGGCCAGCAGGTAGCTCTGATCTCTTCCTCTTTCAAAACATTTAGTGCACATCTGTTCACATTCAGAAAGGAGGCAGCTTATATTAGAACTAGGAAACAGGGAGAGCCCAGGTTTTTATGTTCTGTCCCTCTGTGCTTTCTTCATTTTTCTCTAGTAAGCTCTCCTGACTTAGACATTGGTGGCATTGGGTCATGTGAATTTCCCTGAAAGTGCAGCCTTTGAACGATTGTGTTTGTTCTGATATCGGGATGAAGAGACTCTTCCAGGCACATCTCCACACTGGTCTCATGTACTTGTCTTAGGGCACAGTCCCAAAGTCGAGAATTTACTCCGGAAATCATGAACCCACGCTTTCCAAAGCAAAGACTCTGTTAATGTTCTGATAGTGCATAAATACCTCAACTGTCTAGGCTGAGAGAAGGGGCCGCAGGGTTCTAAGAGAGCAGCTATTTCCTTCATTCCATGTAGTCACACCCTCTGACACCGGGACTCAGCATCCCAGCTTTTCTCACTGTGGAAAAGAAACATTACCGTGGAAGTCACATCCAAAGTTATACATACGGCTTGTAAATTTTACTAACTTGTTTCGTTTCTGGTCCTTGAGAAGTACAACTTGCATCTTGCAGATGGTAATTTCTGGTGTCGTTCTCTGCTATTTTATTTTTTTGCTATGGAATCGCTGTATTTGTTAAAGTTTATTCGTTTCGTGGTTTTTAATCCCCATTGGTGCACTGTACAATGGGGTGTTGTGTGTCACGAAGAAAGAAAAAATATGCAGATGTGTTATGAAGTGTGTTTTATTTTCAAATGACTGTGATGTTGACAATATATTGATTTATCAAGATACTAAGGGAAAATTCTAAATTTACCAAAATGTGTATATTTTAATAAATGCATAAAGCTTTTATTGTGTGCCTTTAAATTTTAAAATGGGCTTATAAAGAAAATCAGCAACAAAGGTATCTCACTCTAAAATATACATAGTAATGTAAAGCTTTGACCTATAATTCTCTCAAGAAAGACAAGAAAAAGAGAGAAAAAATTTCCCACATTCTGTTAACCTTAACCAGTACCTGAAGTCTGTTACTTGATTTCCAATCTAAAATAGAGATGATTAAGTGACTCTTGCCTTAAGTGTTTCAATTGTCCTTTGTAGAAAAACCAGACAAAGGAGCTCATCTTGAATCTAATTGCATTATTGTGGAAAATCCATTTTCAGAATAAAAATATTTTAAAATATACACAGCTAGTTGACTAATAAAATTTAAAGAAAGTCAGTCCCATGCTACCTTTTGAAATGTATTTGACTTCCACAAGGTGAGTATAAGTGGTTCAATCTCCGCATACCCTTTTCCTGGCCAGGTTCGTGGTTGTCCTGTGAGACCTGCTCACCACACTGCCTCTTTAATCTCCACTCGAGCCACTGCCCCTCCACTCTCAGTACCATCTTACACTGAATACAGAGCATCCCATGCGTTGCCTTCATTCCTTTTAAGGATTAATTGATGGAATGTTGCCTCCTTACAGTCCTAAACCCAGGTACACAGCTTTAACGGTGGCTTCTTATTTTTTGATGGTCCAGGTAATATCTGGAGAAGAGGCAGAGGAAGTATAGGAGGCTGACAGGTGCATGTGAGATGCGAGGGAACTGCTGCATCTCTGTGTCTTTGAACTCATTGATCTCCTTCGCAAAGGTCCACCTGTCTGGGTAGCAGAGGACAAAAAGCCTTAAATGCATGAATTCCAGACCACAACTGTCCTCCAGTTTTGTCTCTTTTAGACAACTGCATCTCTTTGGGATAAGTGCTCAGTATTCTCAGTCTGCCCTCCCTCTTGCTTCTTTCCAAAAACAGAACCAAAAACAGCTCACACAATAATGATCTCAGAAGCTGTGGAACAGATGAGGGTACAGGTGAGACTGAATGTTCTGGACCTTTAATGAGGCTGCTGTGCAATCCCAGGACTGGCACAACTGGAGAGGGACTGGCCCATCCGGCCACATAGGTGTGGCATTGAACTTGTGAAGTTCCTGCAGGTCTTTCCTGGTCCCCTTTAGAACCCACTGCATGTTACCCCAAAACTTAGGAAACCAGAAGCAATACCTGAGCCTTGAGCATCCAGCCATGTCCTTTATTATGAAAACATTGTCACTTCTTGGCTCTGCTCATTGAGACTTGGAGCCATAGGTGTATAGCAGCCCGCTCATGAAAAACACTGCTAAATTTTCATTAATTTCATGAGTCCACTGCTAAACACAATTATCATTAAAATTTAACTTCTGGGGCCAACGCTGTGGCATAGTGGGTGAAGTCACCACCTGCAGTGCCAGTATCCCATATGGGCACCAGTTCTATTCCCAGCTGCTCCACTTCCAATCCAGCTCTCTGCTGTGGCCGGGGAGTGCAGTGGAGGATGGCCCAAGTCCTCGGGCCCTGCACCCCATGGGAGACCCAGAAGAAGCTCCTGGCTCCTGCCTTCAGAATGATGCAGCTCATCATTCTGTTGATGGCCATCTGGGGAGTGAACCAGCAGATGGAAGACCTCTCTCTCTCCCTTTGCCTCTCTGTGGCTCTGCCTTTCAAATACATAAATAAATAAATCTCTTTTTAAAAAAGCAGAAAAAAATTAACTTCTATACACTTCTCATTAATTCTGCTGCAAACAAAGGTAAGAAATTCTCAAAACTAATTGTCTTACTACATTTGACTGTTGTCTCAGCTTTTGAGGTTATTTACTGCTATTACATCTAAATAGGAGAAACACTTATAACAATGAGCTATTGCACATCTTCTCCCAACTTCAGGTGTAATGAGTTCACACTGAAAATTAGCCTTGGTGGGAAATTGGCAAATGCTGCAAAACCAGGAGAGCTGGCTAGAAACGTTTGTTAGCACATCACTGCTCATGCCCTTTCCAATTTATGAACCCACTCAGTGTTTGCAGATTTCTCACTCCTACCACGCCTCTACCCACAAAAGAAAAATCCTGCACAAGTATTTTTCCCTTTCCAGCCACCTATTTCTCTTCCTCTGCCCACCATCTAGCAAGAACAGACCGGGCTAGATTTCCACTCTTCTTTCTCTCTGATTAGGATACTCTTACATGACATTCTCCTTTTTGGGGACAACAACCTCATAAATGGCCAAAGGGTTGCCCATTTTTTACCATGGAAGACATTACAATTAGTAACCAAGAGGCATCACTGGACAATCTGGAACTAGGAATTATCAGAGTTAAATCTAACTGGATCAATATTCCAAAATAAAGCCCCTTTACATGGACCTTAGAATTAAAAGATTATTCAGGTATAAGTGTTGGGGAGGATGTGGAGGAATTGGAACTATTGTAGACTAGTGGGAATGTAAATTACAGCTGCTATGGAAAATGGTATGACAGCTTCTCAAAACATTCCTGATAGTATCACCATATGACCCATAACTTCACTTCTGTGTACACATGCAAAAGAATCAGAAGCAGGGTTTCAGAGAGAGATCTTTCTACTCCCATGTTCATTACAGCATCATTCACAACAGCTAAAACGTGGAAGCAGCCCAAGCGCCTGGCAATACATGAATGGACAAGCAAAATGTGGTCCATACACACATTGGAATACTCAGCCTTAAAATGGGAGGAAATTTTGACATAGACTACAGTGTGCATGAACTATGAGGAAATTAGATTAAGTGAAAATAAGCCAGTTACAAAAAGACAAATGTTGTATGATTCCACTTTGAGTGGAGTGAAGTACTTGGAGTAGCCAAAATGATAAAGACAGATGGTATACTGAGGTTATTTAGAGGATCAGAGCTGCTTTTGAGTCATCGTCTCCTTAGGCCATATCTCAAAACCATTTTCAAATTAAGTACTTGATTAGAAATGGAAGGGATCCCCACATCCTACACACCCCATTGGTGGCTCTTCCACATTTGATTTCCGACTATCAACAGTTAACGGGCTGGCAGACTCTGTTCGGAGCCAATTCCCCCCGCCCTTTGCCTACACACATTTCCTAGAAGGACTAGGATCAGTCCTTCCATTCTCGAGTTGGTCTCCCTCAAATCCAGGGCAGCAAAATGCTCTGCTGCGCGGCTCAGAGAGAAAACCACACACCCCCATTTCTTGGTCCAGACACCAAATCTCCAAGCTTTTCTACCGATCTCTGTAAGCCTACTGCTTCCCCCTTCAGTGCCATTGAGAGTGCTTTCAGGAAGGAATGAGCCTTCTGCAAGTCAATTAACTTGATGAGATAAGTACTGTGGCAGGCTATCCTTCAGAGAAAGGAAATACAAATGATTTGTGACTCTAATTAACTTCAAACACAGCAATAGGAATGCAATTTGGAACAGAATCCAAAGAGGAAATAGTTCATCCAAATTCAGTTCTGGTGGCTGCAAGACTGTGATTGAATTTCCTTCCAAACGCAGACACTCCTCACGGGGTGGGATGGGGAACAGAAAGGGACGTCCTGGGCAATGGGGCTTCCCTGTCCTGGATTTCCAAAGCAGACCCTCTGTGGTTCAGAGATGAAGTTGGTCCAAGGTGTGGGAGCCGATGTTCTTAACATCCTCACCCAGCCTTGTCTGCTGGGGCCCAGAATGTGGAGACCGGGTTAAGCCGAAAGGGCAGGGAAGGAGACGTCCTGCCCAGGACCGCAGCAGACAGTGAGTCTTGTGCATCAGCAGAAGAAAGCCACTCTGCCCTATCTGCTTCCTGGTGCCTGGGATTCCTCCATCAGCTACCGAGGCCAGCGCTCCTAGCTAGGAAGGGGGGCTTCAAATGCCTTCACGGTTAACCCCCTGCAAGAAGGAGCACCTTGTCTTCATCCACCCCCACTGAGATTGCAAGGACTGACATCACAGGTTCCTTCCCAGAAAACCTAATGTCCCAAAATGGAACTCGTTTCAATTAATTACATCATAACTAAAAAAACTCAATACAGATATCTTGCAAAATCCTCAGAGAATTTGTTCTAGCACCTCTGCATATACCAAAATGCACAGATGCTGATGTCCCATTTATCAAATGGCCTAATATATGCCTGGTGTTGTGGTGCGACAGGCTAAATCTTCATCTGTTGTTACAGGTGAAATGGCAGCAGAGAAAAGTTTCCAATGGAAAAAGCAGAAGAAGAGTTTCCAATGGACAAGGCAGAGAGAAAGCATTTAAAAGTATTTAAAAGCAAGATTTATTTAAGTCAGAGACCTCCAGCCACAGTGGCCTAGAGCGGGGCTCCAGGAGAGGAAAAAACCAAAGGGACTGGTGGTACTGGGGTTTTTAAGCACAATTTTGCGGAAGAAAAAAAAATTTATCATTCAGTTACAAGGCAAGGACAAAACCTGCCAAAAGACCGGATCTGTAATCTTATTTTCCAAAAGGTGGGATACGTAACTTGTTCTTACAGTAAACTCTGAGCTCAGAAGGATGGAATCCCCAGTCCCTTGCTGTTCTTTTGGTAAAATGGGAAGCTTCCAAGGTGTGGGCAGGTGTGGTGGAATGAGAAGGCCATGCCAAAATGGCTGCTGGCAAAAGAGTCTGCCTGGCAACAGGCTGTGATTGGATGGCTTCAGAGACTGCCTGGCAACAGGGTGTGATTGGTTAGGGCATAGACCACCCCTTGACCAGATTGGCTGCCTTGGCTATATAAGCTGTTGTAGCAACTGAAATAAATGTGTCTGCAGGCTGCTCACCTCGGGCCTGCTTTCACCTGACTCCCGGGGTCTGTGTGGTGACTCCGTGCCTCTTGCCCCCATCACCTTCCTCCTCCCAGAAACAAACTCACTGAAACAGGCAGGCATGGACTTTTGACCTTGCTAAAGATAACTTTCGGGGGAAGAAAGCATTTTGCACCCTCCTAAATTTCCATAGGGACTAACCTGACTGCCTATTAACCCATCTGACTCTTCAC